CCCTGAGAACTGTCTGTCCGGGATGGGGGTCGGGTCCCTTTAAGCACAGCCCTCGGCTAGCCTGAGGCAGTAGCTCCATGCTCTAAGTCCTCATCTGATGCCCTGCCGGCACTGCTTCCGGCCATCCTTAACCCCGGTTCAGGGTCCACTTAATGTGGACATGCTAGTTCGAATTAGCAAAACGCTAGTTCGAATTAGCTTAGTTCGAATTAACTAATTCGAACTAAGTTAGTTCGAATTAGCGCTGTATTGTAGATATACTCTAAGAAACTTGTTGCATGCAAATTCTTACCCCAACAGTAGTTCTAATTATCTTTTTCACAAGATAGGGAGCCTCCTAACTTGAGCCCCGTTCTCCTCCTGTTCAGTTTTAGATGTTTCCAGTGGACATTTAGATTGGTAAAGGGAAGGGGGGACCCTCCTGGCGCTTTGCAACTGACTCTATTTTTGGTTTTCCACCTTTTTATCCCCTTTGCCCAAGATGGGAATTCTTTGTGTTCACTTCCAACTTTCCTCACCTTGAGTGGAAAAGTACAAGATCCAAAATGGGTTCCAGCATCAGGAGGCCTAGCCACATGTCTTTATAGGACCAACCATAGTTTAGGCTAACAGGAAAAACAAAGCCATTTCGCAGATTGTTGGTTTGAATATCAAGCCATTATGTTTCCCGAGTGTCACTAATAGCCCTCATTAGCACATTTAGGGTGCGTCTACACAGCAGGGCTTAACTCAAAATAAGCTATTCAAATTGAGCTACATCAGTTGTGCAGCTCATTTCAAAATAGCTTATTTCAAAATTGGGAGCATTTACAGAGCACTTATTTTGAAATAGAGCACATGCTTCCTCCACCTTACCTTACTCCTTGTACAATGAGGGTTACAGGAGCTGGAGTAAGAAGTCTTTCAGCTTACACTATTTTGACACAATAACTGCCTGCTGTGTAGATGCAAACTAAGTTATTTTGAAATAATGTTGCTGTGTAGACGTACCTTTAAAATTATGAACAAATTCACACTTAATCTTTCTAACTTCACATACAAGAATGATACATGAATAGTTATAGAATATATACGATGAGTAATTCACTAAAAATGTCGCATGATGCATTTTGCCTAAAATGTGTTCAACTTATGCATGTTAATTTTCATAAAACATGGGGGGGCCATGACAGTGAGAGCTCTCTATGTTTAATAGGAATGTTGATATTAAACTGACCAGTGCAGCTGCACCTTTGGTGGCCTGCTTCTAAGTTCCAGATCCTTAGGAGTCTTGCATTAATATCATAAAGACCACATTCTGCTCTGTTACACTAGTGTAAGTCCATAGTAGCTCCATTGAAGCCAGTTGGTAAAATTCCTACTGAAAAACAAAAGCAATGATACAATTGGAGATTTAAAGAAATGTATAAATGAAAATATGGTAGTGATTATACTTGAGAGATTTTGGTGAAAGTGCTTTACGAAAGTGCTATCACCATTTTGTAGATGGGTAAATGTGGACAAGGAACAGTTAAATAACTTTCCCAAGGTCCACCTCACAAAAGCAGAGCTCAGCAAACAAATGTGAAGTTTGGAAAAACGTAAAAAATAACTAATAGTCTTCCAGCACCTTAGGGTATGTCTACACTACCCCGCTAGTTCGAACTAGCGGGAGTAATGTAGTCATCCACAGTTGCAAATGAAGCCCGGGATTTGAATTTCCCGGGCTTCATTTGCATGAAGCCGGCTGGCGCCATTTTTAAATGCCAGCTAGTTCGGACCCCGTGCCTCTGAGACTAACAACAAATGTAGATGGTATCAAGAACATTGTAGAGAAATGCTTGGAGAAACACAGACTTTGGTCTGGGTTCATCTCTTGGGTGCCTGGTTTGGCTGCAAGGTTATACAACTGGCTCCGCCTATCCCCAGGCTGGCCTATGCTAGATTTCAGATTATAACATTTCCCCTGACTCAAATTTTTGTGTTGGTTCTAATGGTAATGAACCTAAACATGTCACCATATCCAGTTCCATGTATCTTAAATAAATATACATTTATTTTCAGAGGATGCCAGAATTGAAGAATAACAAGAAATAAACTCCTCTGATTAGATACAATGACCGAGGCCCTAATCCAGTGTTGTAAAGTGTAAAAATGTTACCTGCAGCACAGATGAGCAAAGTGTGTGTGTGTCCAAGCTGGAAGATTGAGAGAAGCTATTGATAGTTTTGAGTCAGAGTTCTAGGATGTGTAGCATATGTTTTCTTTCTGCCCTTCTCCATAAATCCTTTTTTAATATAGTTCTCTCTTTGAAGTGGTGATGAAGAAGTCACTCAATGCCATGTTCTATTATGGTTGTGACAACATTGTTTCTAAGTTATTTCACAGCACTGCAGAGGATTTCTTCCTGTTGTGTATCCAAGATTAACTTTGTATATTACCAAGGTGTTCCACTCATATTTTTTAGGTTGGATTTCTGTTCTGTTCTGTTCTGAGTTCTTCTGTGTATAAAAATATAGATGCACATTACAGCCCCCTTCCCCCAATCCAGCAGAGATTTCTGATCAGAAAGTACCAGGAATAAGTGATTCATAGAAACTTTCATTAGCTTTGTGCATAGCCTTGAATACCATGCAAATGGAAAAACACTCCTTTGGAAGATTAACTGTTAAAGAAGTGTTTTCTGCTACCTCTTTTCATGATCGCATGATCTTCCCCATCAGTAGAAGCAGCCTGGGCCCTCCTACCTCATAGGCTCCAAGAGCTGGTCTCTAGCCCAAGTTTGCATGTTAATACTGCATTTAAACAACCTCTTAACATGAGCTCAGGTCAGCTAGCATGTGCCCAAACACTGTTTATTCATTTCAGTGTAAATGTGCCCTTAGAACCATTTAGGTGCCTGGAAAAGAGATGCTAGTGATTTAGTTGTACTAGTCCCACTGAGTCAGTACAGAATCAGTCTTAATGTTTTCTTTATTTATGTCAACATCTCATTTTGGACTGTGTAGCTAGATGGGAAATAGCCAGGGATGAAAGAAACTTAAATTTCTTACAGGTACTGTCCTATTGCAACCTAGGTCCCTGCCAGCTCTTTAAATAGTTCCCTGCTGGCTGTTGCCACAGCTCACCCAGCTCTTTCCAGAGCGATGCATCGGGGCGCACCCACTTACTTTCACTTCTGGAAATAGTTTCAGCTTTAAAGAATAGTACAGGTGAAGAAACTTCTGCATACTCAGAGTACTTCCCTGGGACCAACATAAAGACGTCAGCTATTAACAGGAACTCTTCTACCTTGCAGAAGTCTGTTCTTTACTGTCTAACAACTTATCAGATTTTACTCAAGGATAGTAATGTGTATTTTTCTTCTTTTCCAGAGGAGACGAGGAACAGTATCATCAACTCCAGTCTAGAATCTGTCCTCTCTTCGAACATAAACAGCTTCCCCCACTCCAATAGCACTCTCCAACCCAACCTGAACTCAAGTGACCCTGACCTAGAAGTAATTAAACCCAGTCGACCAACCTCGCTGTAAGTACAATGATAGTCAGTGTGTCAGAGAGTTTCTGCCCAGCTAACCTACATGTCTTCAGTTTGGGCCCTATCTTAGTCTGAGTCAGAGCAGTCTGTTGAAGAATATAATTTAAAGTTCTGTTTTTTTAGGAGAGCATAGTTATATGGATTGCATTTTTAATGTGATCTAAATTTTAGAATTAGTTACTGCTTTTATATCTGTTGGCTACTTTGCTGTAATTATTTTGAATGTCTGACTTACTTTCACCATTTTCAAGCAGATCTTTGCATTGTTGCTTGCACTGTTGTGAAGCATTTGGTGTAAATAAAACAGTGTAACACAACTCTAATAAAATTGTTTTATTCCAGCTTAGTTAAAATCTAAGATTTCTGTCAGTATAGTTGATCTCTGGCCAAATGTGCGCCATTGCTTCTGCTATTACTTCCCTCATCAGGCAAGTTCAAGGCAAAAAATAGCAGCTTTAATGACGACTCCCAGGGGAGGGCTTGAGTTATTGTGAAGTCCCCCAGGCCAGTCACAGCTGGGCCGTGGCATGTGCTGTTGAAGAGAATTTCCTTCCTTTTGGGCTTTACTTATCTGTCAATATTTTCCCACAGAACTTCTCCTTCCCGCAGGGTCTGAATGCCTAAACCCAGCACTGTGGAACTTTTACAAGCCCAAGCCAAGTTTAGTGTATCAGTTTTTCTGTGTTTCTTAGTGTGCATTCTATATGCCACTTTATAAATCATGTAAACAGACATCCCTTTAGAATAACTGAGTAGAGTGCTTTGACAAGAATGGCATTGGTGTCATGCTGTGACCTTCTGAGATCTAAGGAAGAGTCCCTCTTCTCTCACCCCCTCCACTCCTTCCTTGCTGTACACTTCAAAGGATGCAAATTTCCACTCTCCTATGAAACCTTCTGGTCCCTTGGAACTGAATCATAGAAATATGAGACTGGAAGGGACCTCGATAGTAGGGATGTTAGATATCATGTATTTTAGTAATCAAGTAGTTGCAAAAATTGTTAACGGTTATACAGTTACTGAAGCATTCCTTGGGGGTGAACAGCAGCTATTGTGCTTCTGGCTCCGGCCCCACTCCCGGGGAGCCCCCCGACATCCCGTGCTGCTGCCTCTGTTTCAGAGGCAGCAGCCCATGGCAGGTGGAGCTGGCCCATGAGGGGAGTCAGTTTAAACATCAGCATCCCACGCAGACTGGCTCTTGCTAGACAGAGGCTGCTCTGGCATCCTCTTCCTCCCGCTGCCTCTGATAGCTGTGTGGGGCTGGGGTGGTGGGGTCAGATGGCTCCATGGGATATGGTGCTTGTGGGGAACTGACTTTTAAGCTGGCTCCCCCTAAGCACTGATTCCCCTCTGCCCCCCATGATACCATCTGTGTGGGCAAATATGGGCGGGGGAGGGTTAAATGTTTAACCGATATATGCTAACATCCCTTCTCAATGGGTCATCTAGTCCAGTGGTTTTCAAAGTACGGGTCACGACCCAGTCCTGGGTCATGAAATATCAGGCACTGGGTCGCCTGGCTATAGGGTCACCAGGTGGGTGCTAAGGCAGACTTCCTACCTGTCATGGTATCACAAGCTGCATTGTGCCCTGAAAGTGGAGAGCATTAGGTCCGACTCCTAGGTGGGGGGAGACATGGCTCCCCAAGCACTGGCTCCAAACTTCCTTAGGCTATTTCCTAGCCAATAGGAGCTGCAGGGCAGTGCCTGTGGGAGAAAGCAGCATGCAGAGCTGCTTGCACACTTCTGCCTAGAAGCGTGACTTGCTGGTGGCTGCATCAGGCGCAGTACAGTTTGCAGTGCCAGGACATGTAGGGAATATGCTGTAGCATATCTGGTGCGGTGATGGCTGGGAGCCGCCTGAAGTTAGCTTGCACCTCAATTTCCTGTCCTAGCCCTGAGCCCTTCTCAAACCCAGAGAACCCTCCTGCACCCCAAGATCCCCATCCTTGGCCCTACCCCTGAGCCTGCACTCTGTCTAGTCAAAAGATATAATTATGTTGGGTCATGGACATCAATAATTTTCGTTAGCCTGGGTACAAGAAAAAAAGTTTGAAAACCGCTAACCTAGTCCTGATGAGGCTACTACTTTAACCACTGTATCTACTCTTCTGATAAACAACCTAGGATTTGATGAATTGGGAAGTGTATGAATTTGTCAGTAGTAGAGAGCTATTATCTATAGAGTTTTGAAAAACAAGGCTGCTGTCTGTATTGAGAGCTTTTTGAACTAGGTGGAAATGTCTGTAGATTCGTTATATCATTCTGTATAAAGTTTTACACCCACATTTGTAGAATATGGTATAGGCAAAAAATACACTTACCACCATTTGTGTAATTCCCTGCGTAGACTAAGCTTGCACACGCTATCATGCACATGTTTTTTAAACTCCAAGTTCTGGTTTATGTCAATATGTTTGAATCTCCATCTGTTGATTCTCATCATTAGAACACAGATATCATGAATGAGGTATCTGATGAGTGAAATAAGGTTTTGAGGATGTGGTGTTTTACACCTTGGGTGGGACTTTGTAAACCAACTTGGTCTCTGCCTCACAATGCGCTGGAGCTTGAAGGGTTCATAGTATCACAGATGGTCTCTTCTTGAAGTCTTTTCTACTATATACAATATGTGATCTAGGGAGGTGAAAGGGTGAGCCAGTGATTGGTTACTTTCACTAAGCAAAGTTTTTCTCCAATACTTTATCCTTGAGATGTATAGTGCACGGGATATCATGAAGGACCAAGAAGACTTTATGCAAAATCCCAGCTTAGACTATGTAATTGCTGGTGCATGGGGAATTGCATTTTTTCAGAGATTTCTCTTCCAAGAGATTCTTTGGATTCTACCCATTGAATGACGGTTTTTAAATATATTTTTGGAACCTCAGGAATCAATGTCATCTGACAGAAGAGTTTCTTAGAGGGGGGGACACTGTTCTCAAAAACAAAATCCCTCTACGTGTCCCAAAGAGATATAATGTAGTGAAGGGGAAACTGGCCAGGACAGACTGAGACGACAGCACCAGCGTGAAAGCTCAGGCTATTACTGTCTCTAAGAGGAAGGATGTGTTCTATGTACATAGGACAGATATGACCGAAATCCCCCATAGAAAAAGTGCAGCCTCTGACCCCAACTTCTTGGAAGTTCAAAACAACTCTCAGGCTATGTCTATAGAGTTTTTGTGGAAAAACAGGTGTTTTTCCACAAAAACTCGCGGAGCATCCACACCTCAAGTGCGTTTTTGCACAAGTAAATTGAAAGATCAGAGGGGTTTTTGCACAATTGGTAATCCTCATTCTATGAGGAAGAACGCCTCTTTGCACAAGAGCTCTTGCGCAAAAACGCGTGTGTGGACAGGGAAGAGGGTTTTTTTGCATAAGAAAAGGGAGGAGGAAAAAGCATATGTGTCTTTGTGGTCATTCTTTCCATAGCAATCACTACTTACTTGCGAGAGAGCATCCAGGCAGTCTGGACGCTTCCTTGCGCAAAAGCGCATCACTTTTTTGATGCACTTTTGCAGTGTGGATGCACTCTGGTGCAAGAAGTTTTTGCAAAAGATCTCTTCCGAGAAGTCTGCAGTCTAGACATAGCCCCAGAGGTACATTCCAATTGTCAACACTGAATAGAACTGGGTGCTGGACAGCTCTTGTCAAAGAACTCACTCGTTCCAGGATCATAATCACTAGCATCCCCAAGTCACCAAGTCTGCCACAGAGCGATCAAGTTGCTGTGAAAGGAGCAATCATTCTCCACGCCAATGGTCCACATTAATTTTAAGGTGCTCACTATTAGACAACTTATAGCCTTTTTTCACAAATAAATCAAAGAACTCTGCAGAAAGCCAAGCTTCCTTATGTGATGTTTTGAAGTTCGCTATTGGACAACTTCTGGGACAGACCTTAACACCTGGAAACCCATTTCTCCATACTTTTGCCATGCTTAGCTCCAACGTCATCATGAACATCTGTCTGTCATTGTGGCCTGAACACCAATGGATAAAACCTGCAGAAAAAGATGCTTGTGCTTGAAAATTCCAGTCCTGTGACTGGCTGTTCTTGAAGTGGGTATCAAACCTTCATAATTTGGTTTAGGTTCCCCCAAATGACACCGCCATCTGCCTTTTGACATGGTGTGTCACTGAGGTCTTGTCTGTTACATGCCTTGCAACTAGTGAGCATCAGTATGCATCAGCTGTTATTAAAAGTGTGGGCACCAGACAGAGTACCAGCAGAAGGAAAAGATGACATCACAGTGTCCCAGTACAAGGGCGAAGGATCTCACACTGAGTGTGGCAACTAGTAGCCTGAGTTTTTCTTCATGTTCTGATTGGAAAGATGCAGACGTCCCTTAAGGCATAATTATCACAGCAATTAGATTTTGCTATTTGGGGCATCAGAATGTCTTTTGATTCTGTCCTTTGGCTCTCACTGAAAGGAGCTGGCATTCCCGATGTTCTCCTATGTCGATTGCACCTTCTTCACACTGGTTCAGGTGCAAGAGTGTGCATGGTTTTTGATGTGTTTCTGCAGTGTGCAATAGTGATATATTCTCACCTCAGCAGTATTATGTCAAGCTACCAACTGGATATTAGGTCTTGCAGCTCTAAATGTCACTTAAGGTTGGTCAAGAAATGTTCACCAACCATCCAAGATTAGGCCAAGACTACATTGGTTTGCTTGTGGAGAAGTCAGAGAATTTCAGCCTGACCCTTTATGATCACCAAAAGGCCACTTGCATTATGGAGTTGAATCCTATGGCAGAAGACTGGGCTACCAGAACTCTAGTGGGAGAGGTTGTCAAGTACCATGACATTTCATATTTCGGATGTGTGACTACAGGGTTTTGTCGACAAAAGTAGACTTTTGTTGACAAAACTATACCTGCGTCTATACTGCCTCTGAGTTCTGTCGACATAATGTCGACAGAATTCAGCAGTTTTGTTGATGGCTGTAAACCTCATTCTATGAGGAATAACGCCTTTTGTCGAC